GAGAGAAGTAAGCAGATGGGTGATACAATTTCTGTAAAATCTTTACTGAGATGTTCTTCGTTTCTCTGAAAGCAATATAAACTAACATGACGTACCAGACATTTGAGCAAGAGAAATAACGAGCTGTGATCGAAGTACTATTGATCCTCCCGTCTTTAATCTGTCTCATTTCTGCATGACGTGTTCAATCGGGTAAGAAGAAAGGAATTAACGGAAGACTGTTCGCCTTGTTAAGATAAGATACGATTTTAATCAAAACACACAGAGAAGACGCATGTCCTGTCAATATCTCTTTCAGTTCCAGTCAGGCGTACTTGAAAATGTTTTGATTGCCGTCTTGACCCTTATGTGGGAAATATCAGCACACGTTTATTGTGCTAAAGGAAATGATAATAAATGAAGCCTGAAAAGGCGCTAATCATTACCAGCAACAGTGAAAGATATTAAGGAAGAAGAGTGACTAGCATAAAAAAGCAAAGATATTATGAGGCAGATTAAAGCAAACTACAAACGACATGAAATGTAGAGACACAGCGACGTATCTTATTGCTAACAGAAGAAAACGCCCTCAGACTAAATACGATATGCAAAACTTGTCAAACATGAGCTTGCAATCATCTCTCGAAGATAAATAAAAACAAGACGTGAAGACAACAGTTGAGTAAGAGGCACTGCAAATAAAATTACTGTTACTTAAAATGGATGGCAGAATTTTGCGAGATTTTTCAATAATCAGACTAAAACAACAAAACCAAGAAAAAAAGTTAATAATAAAAAAATTATAATAATTATAATAATATAATATATGAAAAACATAAAAATATTATTCAAATGAATTAATTAAGATAAATAACAATTTTGAAAATAAAATATATTTTTAAAAAGAAATCATACTAACACCATCCCCACCACCATCAACAATAACAACAAAACCAATGTGTGATGCTTGTAATAATTTATGATGATATGGTATAGACGTTGTGGCCCCGTGTGAGCCTCTGTTAGATTGTGCAAGAAGCGGGAGTTTAGATTTCATGTGCATGTCGGAGAAGACTGACGCCATAAGTATAAACGGCGTCCATGTCAGAGACAAAACACAATGGTCATTGTTACCTCAAAGACCACGAAGCCTTTTTATGCGACCAGGCAATAACTAGCCATTGTAAAAGTTCGCACTGCAGGCACCAAATAAGAAAGGAAAAATGAAAATGAAGTAAAAAGTTCGGAAGAATAACAATAGAGCTCCTTGTAGTTGTAAGCCAGTAGAGGGTAGGTAGGTAGGAAGGTAGACCTTGATCTGTGAGCGTAAACTGTTGATGACTGAGGTTTATGCATTATGTGACAGTGTTGGATGAGGCTGAATGAGAAGCTGACACCCGAACCACACACGGTTGATCCGAGCTGGCCAGACGCGACGGACAGTATGTGTGTGTGTGTGTATGTGTGTTTGTGTGTGTGTGTGTGTGTGTGTG